GGTTGGGGACTGGGTTGAGGTTGGGGTTTGGCCTGAGGTATGGTGTGGGTGGCCTCGGGTTGGGGTGTGGATTGAGGTTGGGGTTGAGGCTGAGGTATGGTGTGGGTGGCCTCGGGTTGGGGTGTGGATTGAGGTTGGGGTTGAGGCTGAGGTATGGTGTGGGTGGCCTCGGGTTGGGGTGTGGATTGAGGTTGGGGTTGAGGCTGAGGTATGGTGTGGGTGGCCTCGGGTTGGGGTGTGGATTGAGGTTGGGGTGGGTATGGGGTGGCCTGGGGTTGGAATGGGTATGGGGTGGCCTGGGGTTGGAATGGGTATGGGTATGGGTATGGGGTGGCCTGGGGTTGGAATGGGTATGGGGTGGCCTGGGGTTGGAATGGGTATGGGTATGGGTATGGGGTGGCCTGGGGTTGGAATGGGTATGGAGTGGCCTGGGGTTGGGGGAAGGGTTGGTATGGGAATTGAGGATGGGGTAGGTATGGGAATTGAGGATGGGGTAGGTTTTGTTGTAGTGACGGATGAGGTGTACCTAGGTGTTGTGGGTGCTGTGGTATTGGTGTTATGTTGGGTAGTTCCTGCTGTTGGTGTGGTTGTTCATGTTCCCGTTGAACGGGTTGCTGTTCTCTACCGAGCGAAGTGGGACGTCCTGCCATACTAACTGAGGCCCCCTGTCTACCCTGCTGGCATGGCGTCGATGTTATTTGTGGGGGAACCCAAGACGGCTCTCCCCACTCATGGGACGACTCCTCGCAAGACTCCCCACTCATGTCAATAATAGTATCGCTACCTGAGCGATCCCCAGTGGTGTCGGAAGAGGTTCTATCCTCTACACTCCCATTCCCACTGGTCCCTACTGACTGGTCATTATCAGGGTTAAACATTTTCTGTGATTCCTGGTGTGCCACGTCTCTTCTAAACTACCCTTTAGTACACCCTCGACCCGGACTCACTACAACCGTGATCTTACACCAATAAAAAAAAATCACAACTCTTTTTCTAAGAGAAAACTACTAAATTCCAAAAATAGGAAATACAACGATTTATCGAGAGAATCGCTGAAGTGAATCCAATGAATGAGTGTCTGCCCCGCACTCGTGTCTGACCGTGAAATATCCCGCAGTTCTATTGCTGGAACCTAAGTCCTTTACGTTAAAAAAATTAAGGAATCTAATTTATATAAAACAATTTAAATGATAACGCAACTAACGCGCAGCACTCGTGATGGATTAATAAAGAATATTTACTGTACTTGAATACTAAACGCGCTTGAAGTGAGCAGCGTGGCCACTGATGACTGATGGAGCGGGACCAGCTGCGCTGAAAAAAACTAAGTCCCGCGCTTTTTCGCTTAAACGCTGAAAAATCAAAATTTTTGTTCTGAAGGAAAATAACTAGTTTTACGTTAATAAACCGCTCTAGCGATTAATATAGACACCCAGGACCTATAAATGCTTACTAAAAATTGAATTTTTATCAAAAACTGCGTTTTTACTCAATTGCTGGACTCTGCCAATTTTTCTGACTTTTCTGAGGGAAAAAAAAATTTCTATCACCCAAATATCACAAAAACTCCTTTAATTCACAAAAATTTGGGTTTCTCGTTCCCAGATATAAATACGTTATTATTCACTACCGACGTTGTATGCAGAACAATACTGACACTTCGGGCGGTTTCAACACTCATTAATTCGATTTTTCGTCAAAATCCGAGATTTTCACCTCAAATGGACTCTGACAAAATTACAACACGATTTTCTCGAAAAAAACTAAATTCGGCAAAAATGTAATTATCACTGTTTAATGCTTACGAACAGAATTACGTCCCTTGCGCGCACTAGAGAGTAATACTGACCCCAGAATATACACGAAACATGAAAATTCGAATTTTTCGCCAAAAAGTCAGATTCTAGCCCAAGCTGGACTTAGAAAGTTTTCCACCTACGTTTCTACTGAAAACAGAATTCTAAGTCTACAAACACAATTCTACCGTCTTACTGGTAAAAACTAGAAACTATCACTCGCATCGACTGGAGAATCCTAATGACACCCAGATCATACACGTGACCCACGAATACAAATTAATTACAGTTAACGAGTTTCCGACATTGACTTAGCCGAAAACTTATCCCAAAATACTTAGACATATTCCACGGACAAATAACATTTACACGCAACTTTACTATCCCTTAAACTCCTTCACTTACTACAGTGACCGACCAATAGCCCTAAGTCCAGAGGATTAACAACACTCTAGCAACAACGCCTCTGACTTAGACTAATACAACAGGAAATAGCAAAACTTAACGTACGCACTTAGCCTAATATGCAAGAAAATGCTAAACACTTTGAAAAAAAATTTTAACCGGGGATTGAATGTAAGGGAAAAAAAAATTAACTTCTAGAACAACGAAAATAAACGGAAATTACTTTATAAATTTAAGTATCCTTAATTCAAAAATGCACTCGACTTAAATCTTATAATTGTTCCTACCGGCTCGCCGTACCACACCTAGCCTAGAGGCCACACCATCTAGGTTCCAACAGATCGACACGCAGCTTTCAGCAACAATTATGACTAGGGACGACTCAACCTCCACTAAGTGTGCGATCACTTAGTTGTTGAATCGCTGCTAGGTAGGTTACTAGTCCGTCCCTCGGAGGCCGCAACGCCCTTCACGGATTACGTTTTTCCTAGCGTTTTGGGTCGTCTAATAACGCCCTCGGACTATCTACTGGCGTCCCACAGATATATCCGCCCCCGACAGCCCTCAAGGAACTGCTGTTGAGAGTATGGCGGCTCCCAACACCTCTGAATTAATTGCAATGGGTCGAGTATGGTACCCAGTCCAATCAACTCGGAGCGGTCTCCTTTTCAATAAATCTATTTTAACAGCCTAATCTTACTAACTAAACCTTAATCATATCAGCCCGCATGACTCAAGATTCGCCAATCCCCACTCAAACGCACTTGTGGGGCGCACTGCTAATCCGGGCCCGCGGCTGTCTCCTTAGCATCCGCGCACGTGTTCGAACGGCTAGACGCGTGAGCCTTTCAACAATTTCAAACAAAATTGTTGAAACCACCGCTGTGCACCATTGTAACACGGGTTCGGGTTCCTCTCTCTTTACTTCCTTCTTTCTACTCCCTCTACCCGTATTCTTACTTTTATTTCTAAACCAAGGGACTCCAAAACTTTTACCAAAGCCAACTCCACGCCACGTGGTCCTAAGACGATTGACCGACTTAGGATTCTACACCCAGTATGACGTGACCTAAGCTCTGAACAAAACCCTAGAGTCACCTCTGCTGCCACCACCAGACCAGTAATACAAGAGCAATGATCGAGGTCTGGATCGATCACGCTAATTAATCAACCTAGGGGCTTGATCCCCACTATAAACGATGACCTTGAGTGTGGAATAAATTACACGGTAATGATAATTCCGATTCGATGTTAGAATCGGCGCCCAATGCAACTCTGCCTCGTGTGGACCACGTGACCAGGACAAGTATACACACAAAACACATGGAAACAATAAAATGCAAATTAATAACAAATTTAATTTATTAAACGAAAACTAAAACAAAATCTAAATATGTTCACTCCCTATCAATTTAACACTCCCTACTTGACCTGAGTGGCAAATGAGACTATTTCTATACTTAACAATAGCAACTATACCTTGGGCGACCACAGTTCTAGGTGTTGGGCCTGTTCTTGGGGAGAGGTAAGATGTTTGACCTCTCCTAGCTGCTTCCGTGACCACACTGATTTTTTCCTTGTCTGGTCTCCCCCAGACAGAACATTGTATCCTTCCGCCTAGTCAAAGTTCTACCCAGTTACTAGCAAGGTTTAAGTTATAACAATTAACCTCTGTTGTACTTAATTGATCCAGACTGGTTGAATTATTTTACTGAAATAAATTACACAAGCCTCTAACGGCAGAGCTGTTCCCGATCACAAAAATGGTTATTAAAACTTTGAGAAATATTAGACATGTCAACCCTGCTGACCTATGACCGCCGGTCACTCCGCCTCAAAAGTTAGATCTGATTCGTGACGTCACTGATGGTGACTTAAACTCAATAATTAGAATACTCTTGATATTGTATCCAGTACTATTATACAATACAATTTTAATGCAAAATGAATAAAGGCTAATTTTCTCTAAATTACTTGAATACTATAGGATGATTCATTATACGCCGTTATGAACAAAGCGTCGGTTATTTCCACCGCGAATTCCCCTGGGGGTCAGGTCACCATGCGGCTCAGCTTCCCATTCTCTTTTGTCGATAAACCACTCTGGATAATTCTTACAACAGCCTAGTTTGTTACAACAGTTTTCATGCTTGTAAACTGTTTAATAAATGTAACCAAAGCCATCAAAGATTGAGGAAAGATGTGCACGTTCGTAAGTACTTGCGTAACTCCTTCGTGAATCTGGCCCCTGCAGTTTACAAATGGCGGCAACCCATACTCCACCAAATACAATACTACTCTAAGACTTAAAAGATGTTTGCAATGAATTATAGTTAAGTCTAACAAATAATATTTATTCTTGGGAACCTTATATCGTCATCACATTCTCAGGGTCTATTCCTACTTCCCCAATTTCAAATCATCCAATATTATTCTTTAACTTCGTGGTACTGTACCTTGCCAATCTCTAAGAACTATCGTACCCCCAAAAATCAGTCGTCCTCTCTCTTGGCACTGCAGGTAGCATTTGCAGTCACAAGTTACTGTTAACCCTTTCAAACAAGCATTTATCTTTCACGTGTACACATAAAAATTCCTCTTGAAAGCTTTATTTGTATAATACTTGAAAAAAATTACAAATTTAACATAATAATCTGGCACCTCTAATCTTAATTTTATTTATTATGCTTTCATATCTTCTGCTTTCTCATACTGCCAATAAAGCTTTTAAAGTGTTCACTAATTTATACTACAATATAAAGATTAACAATAGATGCATAATACACCAGTAATTCTTACCTTACTATTAACAAAACTCTCTTCATTAAAGCCTCCATATGTCACAGACTGCAAATTACTATTATCCCAATTGAAGGATGACCCTCTTCTGGCGTGTTGCGTTTCTAGCAGTGAATGCTGAGGTTGGAGAAGAGCCGAAGGCAGGCCACCTACCCGTCCCTCAACCTCACTTGCTGTTGCACTAGTCTGCCAGCCTTCTGAAAGAATAGTTTAGTCTCGTAATATTTTCACACATCAACTTGCGATTTTCAACAAAATGTTCCCATCAAATGTGTTTCAAACTGGAAACTCCCTTTTGCCTCAGCTGTCCCCTTATATAAATGAGAACATTAAAAAGGTCCACAAAGCCTTATTATTAAACATCATTTATTATCACAACTTTCCATTATATACAATAGTTTTTTAGTTTAGTTTATTTATTATGGACCCCATACCCATCTTGTGGGCAGTAGTGAAAAGGGTATATATAAAAAAAAAAAAAAAAAAAAAAAACTCCCCTACAGTACCAATTCATAAGAAAATTCCACACCATCTCTATTTCCACTTGAACAAAACAATTATCCTTTTCTTCAGAGTAAAACTCATCTCCACAGAGCCATTTGTTCTCACTCTGAGTCTTTATTTTCTCAATATTGTTTCATAAAGGCAGAAGATCATATTTTTATAGTGGTTGGGGGAGGGGGGGCATATGGAAACATGTAATAAGGGTAGGTCAGGTGGGGGTGACAGATGGAAGCAGGTTATAAGGGTAGGTCAGGGGGGTGACAGATGAAAGCAGGTTATAAGGGTAGGTCAGGGGGTGACAGATGGAAGCAGGTTATAAGGGTAGGTCAGGGGGGGGTGACAGATGAAAGCAGGTTATAAGGGTAGGTCAGGGGGTGACAGATGGAAGCAGGTTATAAGGGTAGGTCAGGTGGTGACAGATGGAAGCAGGTTATAAGGGTAGGTCAGGGGGGATGACAGATGGAAGCAGGTTATAAGGGTAGGTCAGGGGGTGACAGATGGAAGCAGGTTATAAGGGTAGGTCAGGGGGTGACAGATGGAAGCAGGTTATAAGGGTAGGTCAGGGGGGTGACAGATGGAAACATTGTTAATTGTTCCTTCTGGCTCATCATATGTATAATTTCAACCCACTGTAGACAAGGGCCGAAGAGTGAGAAAATGGCAGCATTCTGAAGCAGCCTATCTCTAACCTTGACTTAGGACAGAGTGGGAGGGCCCAAGAAAGATAGAAAAGGGGGGAGGAATATAGACAGTGGGGGTGCAAAGACAGACAGGGGGTGGCCAAGGTGGACAGGTGGGCCAAGGTGGACAGGTGGGCCAAGGAGGACAGGCAGACAAGTCACCATTGTCCTACACTGCCAAATTTTAATAAGCCTACTTCCATGAAAATAAGCAAGCATTGTAAAATTCAATTCATGTACAATAAGATATTCAAGATATTATATGGAATCCTCAGAAAAAACTAATCTGTAAAGCCTCACAACTAGGGACACAAACAAAATTCCTACAATTTAACCAGTTTGAATCCTTATGACTGGGGCCTGTAGATGATGAATACAATTTTTTGGAGCTACTAGGAGCAAAATAATTTTGAGAAAACTCTACATCAGCTGCTGCACCATGTATACATAAATCACTCACAATACAGAAATAAGAACATGAAGGAAGTTTTTTACCAATTAACCTACTAGCTTGTAAGAGTGTTGAGTGTGCATAAGACGGCTCTTCATCATGACTCCTCACAACCTCTACACTTTGCTCAAGATATTTCCCATCCAATCCTGAAAAATAGTTAAGAAATGAATAATATAGAAAACAAATTTGCAGCCTGTTATGGGATTCTCCATAATGTCAGAATTACATGCAGAATTTTATTATTTAGCATATTCCCAGACGTATTTTTCAATGTACATAATATAATGTAAATTTGCAGCCATTATGCAATTCATCATTATGCCAGAATCACAATGGGACCTGAATATTATTGACATTATTCCTATGCATTCTTCCCATACCAGTCGTATACATCACAAACAACAAGTGTAAATTAGCAATATTAGAAAGGGCAGTAAAAGTAATGCCAACCATATCTGATGGTCTTGTCAATGACCAAGTTTATTGAAATACTAACCAACGCAAGCGGTTACAACTGAATAGTTCAAAAGCAGTAATAAACATATTACCAGTGTAAATGATCTGTGTGAAAACTGTGTGAATGGGAGTGCTAGAGGTTGTTCAGTTTAAATACCTGGGAAGCGATTGCTAAATGAGGAATTAGTACAAAGAAAAGTGAGGGTAAGGAAAAGAAAGCGGCTGGGTCAATAATAGCCTTGGTTAGAGAAAATCAGGACAGTCAGAGTTGCACGAAATAGTGTCAACCTCTACGTATGGGTAGAGAGCGATGGTGTGGTCGAAAGTTCAAGAATTAGAGTAATAGAAATTAACAATTTAAGATTGTGCGTTTGAATTCACTTATTTGTGCCTGCACAATCAAGCCTTTAGCTCTTGGACCCCCACCTTTCCATTCACTAGTTGTCTAAATTTACTGCTAAATGAACAGAGGAAAAAGGTGAAAGAAAAAATACCCAAACATTTCCATCTTGTCAGCAGGACCAAACCCACAATTGCCAAAAATCAATAAAGCAAAGAACTGAGAGCATGCCAAAATGGCTTGGGCACGTTAGGGGAGCCGGTCGGCCGAGCGGACAACACGCTGGACTTGTGATCCCGTGTTCAATCCCAGGCGCCGGCGAGAAACAATGGGCAGAGTTTCTTTCACCCTATGCCCCTGTTACCTAGCAGTAAAATAGGTACCTGGGTGTTAGTCAGCTGTCACGGGCTGCTTCCTGGGGGTGTAGGCCTGGTCGAGGACCGGGCCGCGGGAACACTAAAAAGCCCCGAAATCATCTCAAGATAACCAAGATAACGTTGACCAAATGGATGACGATTAAGTGGTTAAGGTACCTTCATATAAATGTGAAGCCAAGAGTAGAGAGGATGGCCAGAAAAATGAATGGATATGGTGAAGGTGAGGGAGGGTGTAATAAGTGAGAACAGCTCATGGGATATGATAGGACACAGTGCTGGGTGACAGCAGTTGAGAGCATGTAATGTTTGGGCATTACACTTGGTCTTGGACGCAGGTTCGAATCCTCGTCACGGCCCTTGTGGATTTGTTCATGTAGTGTTTGGACATTACACCTGGTCTCATAAACTGATGGGGTGCTTGTGGATAACTTACTGGCATGTGGGGGGTGCTTGTGGATAACTTACTGGCATGTGGGGGGTGCTTGTGGATAACTTACTGGCATGTGGGGGGTGCTTGTGGATAACTTACTGGCATGTGGGGGGGTGCTTGTGGATAACTTACTGGCATGTGGGGGGTGCTTGTGGATAACTTACTGGCATGTGGGGGTGCTTGTGGATAACTTACTGGCATGTGGGGGTGCTTGTGGATAACTTACTGGCATGTGGGGGTGCTTGTGGATAACTTACTGGCATGTGGGGGTGCTTGTGGATAACTTACTGGCATGTGGGGGTGCTTGTGGATAACTTACTGGCATGTGGGGGTGCTTGTGGATAACTTACTGGCATGTGGGGGTGCTTGTGGATAACTTACTGGCATGTGGGGGTGCTTGTTAATTCATCATACTATGTGCTCTACATGATATAATAAAGGCAAATAATTATAAATTTAATTACCTATAACTCTTTTCCCTTCAACTGCTTCCCACTCCATGAATTTTGAGAAAAAGGTATTAATGAATGTATAATGATCACAGCTAAGCCACACACACAATAATTAAACTAGGTACATGCAGTCCAGTTAAAATTCCATAGGACAGCTGGTGTATGGTATTATTATAAGAAAACCACACCACTAATAAAAATTATTTAAGAAAATGCTATTAAATCATCCCTGTATTTGAATACAGGGATGCAAGATGAAGTAGGTATATATAATGAAGGCAATCATACAAGATATATAATTTAATTCATTGTATCGGGGACAGGAAGCCAGGTTATACATACAGTAATGTTAGGGTTATACCGAGGTTACCCCCCCCCACCCTTGGTCAAATTACTGACCCCAACCAAGATGCAACCCCACAAGCTAACTCCTGGGTACCCATTTACTGCTAGGTGGACAGGAGCACGAGGTGAAAGGAAACGCGCCCAACCATTTTTGTGCCGCCCAGGATTCGAACCCAGAAGTCTCGATTGAGAGTCGAGAACGAACCCGACTGTACTTCAGGGACCCTCTTACACGTATCCTATGATGTATATACGAGTAAATATCCTATAATTTGTGCTAAGACTTTTTAGAATGATACCTTCGCCGAGTGGTGTACAGCCCATTTTATTTTGTACCTTTGGGAAAATTTAAAAAACCAGATAAATCTAATGTGTACTTAGCGAATCTATCTCTGATGATTTGCTCCCAATGAGACTAGTCCAAGGAAACTGCCATGCCAAAAATCTCCAGTTAGCTCCTCATCACATGACCTTTTAACTTATTCTATAGTGAAACTTCCTAATGTTGTCATCATCTTACCAGCTGGAATAAAGTCTTCAATTTCTCCTTCACTAAGATCTGAGTCATCGCGGTCTAAGAAATCTGTTATAAAATCTGTTTGAATAACGGCAGGTGAAGTACCTTTCACATTCAGCATGCCTGTAGTAACTGAAATAATGATTACATGAATATTATCCTCCATGTTTACATCATGACATTAAATCACCACCATCGCCTCTCTCTACTCTCTCTGTCCCTTTTCAAGGGACAAACAGGGAAAATTAATATGATACATTAAAGGTTATGTTCACTAGACTGAAAATAAGTAATAAATAAGAAATAGGTTACACTTTTGAGAACCTGACAAGTAAAAAATAAAAAATTGACACCAGTGACAATTTACCTCAAATAAAATTGTAGGTAAAAAATAAAAACAGTGGCAGAAAGTAAATAGTGTAAGTACCTGGTTCTCTAGCCTCATGTGGGCTCAGATGGCCCCATGCAGATGGTGCTCTTGTTAGTTCCCCAGTTGAGAGGTTAGTATGGTCAACTAAAAATCTGCTTGATGACAAATCTGTTTTAAAGAAAATTAAAAGTGCCAAGGAAAAGCAAGGTCTAAATGTTATAAATTCTCAGCTTATCCTCATAACAAGAAATCCATTCTGTTTTGTAAACTTACCACTCAATCTTTCAACTCTGATTAAGGGCACATCCATCATACGCCAAAGGTCAGAAGATTCTCTCGTTTTGGACAGTTCTTCATGTGAGCTCGAAGACTGTCTTTCTGTAGCTGTCAATTTACCATCAACAGCCTACAAAAACAAACAAACTTACTTTGAGCTTAAGAAAATTATTCTGCCACTCCCAGAAGTACGTTACCCAACTGTGCAGTCATAAGATCACTTGACTGACAAGACATTCTTAACCACCAATGCCACAGGAACCAGTGTTTCTGTATAACAATTTAAGGGGCTTGTGGGTCATTGAAAAAAATCATTCCAGCCAATGACTTATCTAGGCTGAAATGCAGAATAACATAACAGTGCAATAAGAGATAGTATGAAGGAACACCACACTGCCCTAGGCTTACCAATACGCTAAGTTAGGGGCATTGAGAGGAATCCTCAGTGATGCACCAAAGCAACAGAATGACCTGGTGATGTATAGCAAGTATAAAAAAGGAATCTACAGAAAGTCTATAAGCCAATACAAGAGAGGAGGATACAGGAGGGCTGCAAACAGAGGTAGCTTTACAAAAAAAATTAGGAATACAAGAAAGGGAAGAAAAAAAGAAGCCATAGCAACTAAAGATTGAATGAAATCTAAGAGCTACAACCACCAGTGTTGAGAGGAAAAACCTTAAATGATAGGAAAATTACCCATGGGATACAGGTCAGACTAAATACAGAGGAAGAAGGGATGATAATTAGAGGTAACAAAGGCAATAGAGGAAAGAATAAAACGGGTAGAAAATGTGACGACCGATGAAACAATACCAGATATATCCTGTACAGCACAATCTAAATACAAATTTTAGAGATATGTAGATCATAAAATCAGCAGTGAGAGACTGAGAACCTAGTAGGTCATGAAATGCACAAGGCAAGAGTTGTAAGGTGAGCAATTTGTGGTAACGTTACAATCTGTAAAGCCAGAGGGAGAAAAAGGAGCAAGTGAAGAGATAGAGACAGGAAAGAGTACAGATATTCTCACCAAAATTTGCGCAAGTGCAAATTAGTTTGCATTTTTTTCCCTAGTTCAAGGCAACTAGGGAAAATGAACAAAAATGGAGGATAAGAGAAGTTTCAGAATGGATGGAATTAACCAGACAAAAAAATATAATGTCCAGGGAGGATAAGGAGGCAGCAAAGAAAAATGGAAGAAAATTGGATAAATAATTACAGAGAATTAGAAAACTGGATAAGCAGTGGATAAGAAAGAGCAAATTTGTATTACTACAAGACCTAAAATAAAGAATATCAAAGGTTATAAAGGGAATGCCTGGAGGCAAAAAAGGAAGAGCTGGAGAGAATAAAACAGAAGCAGAAACTACAATAGAGGAATAAATAAGAGAAGCAAAGAAGTACTACAATAAGTATAAAGAAGTACTATAATAAGAAAAATTTATCATGCACAGTAGTAATGAAAGCAAATGATTAGCCTAAGCTAATAAATATAAACCATAGGAGTCGAAAGGAAATCTGCACACACAATGTACGTCACTTTTACTTTTATATGCCCATAAAATATTTCATCAGAAGCAGTACCAATACCCTTTTATTCAAGCTGGCTAAAATAAAGTCCCTCAAATTTAATCACCAAATCCCTCCTGACATGCAAAAGTAAGATTTGTTTATACTACCTTTATCAGCCTGACTAATGCTGCTGCTAAACATCTTTTCTACTCGATGTTAGTCCAATTAAATAATCAGGTACAAGAGAAACCCTTAGAATCTTTAGGATTGCTTAGCACAAGAAAAAGAAAAGTTGCAGATTCAGAGGAAAGCATAAAGATTACCGAGTCCTGTAAATATATAAAACACAACTATAAATAAAAAAACATTACTGTACAGTAATACAAATTAATTTCAACCAATTGTTCAATTAATTTTTAAATATTTCAAGATTTTTTCTTATAATGACGAATTACGAATTACATATATCACGAATTACATATATTATGCAAGTACAATATATGCATAAGTATTCTGTGCATATAATTTAGCTTATGAGCATGGTATATGGAAAGAACCTCTTTCCCACAAAACATGCAATACCATACAACTCGAGGAGTTGCTCCTCGAGTTGTACTCGAGTAGCAATGTGCTGAGAATACACATTCAGCAGATCGGATGTTGTTGTCGTCGTGCCAACAGTACCACTCCCTTAATCTGCTGTAGACCCTGTGATATTCACTGGTCTAATTTATGATAGTTTTATATCCTGAGAACACTAATGACTTAATATTAAGTTACTTGACTAACTTTTCCATTATCAAATTAACACTCAAAACTTGTATTTCTTACACTATGAACACAATACATATGCAATATCCTCACAAAATTAATAAAAATGCCTTGATTTTGGTCTTCTATACCAGTAGGCGCCAACCAGTGGTCCATGAGACAATTATATTTGTGAATTCTATGTAACCAAGTATTTCCCTTAACTGTTATATTTAATAGCATCAAATAGTTTGACTTAACAACTATCATTTCTTGATTGGTGGATTGCAGAATTCACATTAGTGGTCTGTAGGATTTAAAATTATGAACTTGGTGATCCGGTTGGAGCCAGTCGGCCGAGCGGACAGCACGCTGGACTTGTGATCCTGTGGTCCCGGGTTCGATCCCAGGCGCCGGCGAGAAACAATGGGCAGAGTTTCTTTCACACTATGCCCCTGTTACTTAGCAGTAAAATAGGTACCTGGTTGTTAGTCAGCTGTCACGGGCTGCTTCCTGGGGGTGGAGGCCTGGTCGAGGACCGGGCCGCGGGGACACTAAAGCCCAGAAATCATCTCAAGATAACCATCCGTGAGCTCCGAAAGGTTGGCGACCACTGTTCTATACATACCAGTAAATTGGCTTACCTTCTGAGGATGCACATTCAACAGATCGGAAGTCATCATCGTCGTACCAACAGTACCAGCTATCTTAATCTGCTGTAATCCATCTGATTCCCTCTCACTTGCCTCTTCCAGTGTATTAAGATACTGTCTTGCCAAATCTTTCCTAGTGTATTTTGGAAAATCGAACATTGATTAACCAAAAATCAAACGGCCATAACACAAAACTTAGAATTGATCTAATGGCTCATTATAACAAAATATATCCTAAAAATATAAAATTATAATTTAAATTAATAATTGCCATATATTATAATATACATTCTGTAATCTCCTAAAAATGAATCAGCCAAGAGATTAATCACTTAAGTAATAAAGCTTGGATACAAAGAAAGATGACAATGAGGCGTGCTTAAGTAAGAGATCAAGCAAACTGACAGATGGATAGCTATTGTATAAAGTATTTTGTTAAACCTACTCTATACAAGGACAAATAATATGTCAGTAAAGCTGAACTAGTCAACTGATATAAATCATGAAAATTTAGGTTAGGGATTGTTTTGTGAAAAAGAATGGTAAACTCTTAATACTAACCTTGTCTTCTTGTTCCCCACCGTAGATGTGGCCTGAGGCGCAGTAATGTCAAGGATGCCATCATTATCGATTAAATTAGGGTTACAGCCCAGCCCAGTAATTATTGACTGGTCACAATCATTGTTTTCAACGAGACTATCAGCATACATTTTAATAAAAAATCATCACCTGTAAAGATAAAATTTCTAAGCAAAACTTGAAAATACACTGCACGGCTTATCTAAAAGAAAGGAATGACAAATTATATACAGTACAGTATACACTAATTGAAATAGGATGGAAAGAAAAGAATTCAACATTCTGAGATCCACGATGTTGAGACAGTTTCCCAAGTAACAACTTCAGAAGGAAGGAAGAAGAGAAAAAAAAAAAAAAAGTCCAAACTTGTGATGAAAACCCAAAAGACCCTCTTTCACACCCCCAGGAAGCTACAGCAACAGACATCTAACAGCAGACTTAAGAGCTTTCCCCCTTCCTATAGCTCATCTTAAGCCTTACCCTACTAGTCTCTCCCTGGGTACCCCTCCCTCTCCACAACTAGAGCCAGCTGAAATCACTGTCCTACTGCAGGAAACAAATCCGGGACTTTCAGTTGCGACCCCGACTGCTGACCACTGCAGTCAGGGCTCTCAGGAGTAATAGGAAATTCATTTGAAAATGAACACTGGCCTATCATAAGAATTTTAGATGTAACAGGTCCATGAGCTATTTCATTATATAAATAAGTTACAACAAATATGCTACTCATAATACAGTACAAGATACATTATCCTTATATCCATACAACTGTGTTAAGTATCTATCTAATGTACAGTATTCACAAATCTAATGTTGGCTAGTTTCATTTGATAATTTTCAAACCACGCCTAGGAAAATGTTGCTCTTTTAAGTATTGTTCACTCTCTTAATTAACTAAGCACGAGAAAGTTACATAAACATATAAAATACAGAGACAGCTAATCATAATTGTTTAGTCATTAGCATGCAAAACATTCAGACAAAATTAAAGCCATCATATAAAGATGTCACACTGCATTTGAATATCATTTATTTCCCATTATTGGGAATATGACCCATTAGGCTTTTCGAGGATCTCCCTCCCCCCCATCCCCTTGTTAACGGACAAGGCTGCCTGTACAGTCACCCAATCAGTTACTGGCAAGAGCCAACAATTTAACCACCTATGCAGGTGATGAGCCCATCATATACTACTCCACATTATACCCTAATATTGATGCATCAGAAGTTTAAAATATGTAGGAAAACTAATAAAAAATAAAGATCGATTGCTAAACAGTATAAATGATAAATTAGGTAAAACAAAAGTTCTAAGAAGGATTACTGTACAAAATTATCTTCGCAAAATACGTAACACTGAAGTTTACCAAGCTGCACACTTCCTTTTCCCTCCAAAGTCACTACATATGTCAGGAATCTGGGAAACACAGTTAAATAATTCGGATACAGTTTGCTTGGTAAAGCAAACAGTTTACATACAAATTTTCAACACATAACTTATATGTTATAGAAATTATGTTATGGATATGCAAAAGTATACTGTATAACTGTACAGGTATTACTTATTTGTCTTAAAAATATTAATTTATGGATAAAACAATGCGCATTATGCCCCAAAATTACTTTACAAAACCAATCAAGCAAACGAAGTTATGAACTTAACATTACATTACATAGCAAGTCCAACCCTCTCGTCACCTTTGAATTTAAGCCATAGAAAGGTTATGAAAACCACATAACATTAAAAGATAACCAAATATAATAACATACAACATACGAATTACAATGAGACAACATGTGAAGAAAACAGACTGACAGGCAGCTGTAAACAGTACACATTTCTCACCTCTTGGGTGACCAACACTTCGCAACTCCCACCCCACAGTACTCTGGCACGGCAGTAGCCCTCGGTAGCAATTTGTCTCGCCGGAAGAGCAGTAAAAGCCAAGGTGTGAGCCGTAATGAGCGGAGAGGCAGACACCTGTGAAGCAGTTGGCAGTTGAAGTTGGGTGGCGGGCCAGCAGGTGAGGGTCGCCAGGCGCACCACCAACACCTACCCACAACACCTGCCTCAATCACCCTTTTATACCTTATTAACCCTTCTCTCATGTAATAAACTCGTAAACTTGTCTTTCCCGGTTAATATTTCAGTTTTTATATTCGGAATTGGAATAGTTTTGGGGGAGAATAATGTTGGGTGTTGGCGGTATTTGTCAACCCCGAGAGCGGTCAGGCTCAGAGTCCGTTTGTTTACAAAATAGTGATCAGCTGGCGGGCGACCATTTAAATTCTCCAGGAAATTGAGAGGAAAATAAAATATGACTGTAAATCTGCTGTAAGTGCTGTTAGTTTAGTCCATTTATTATGCACCCCATACCCATCTTGTGGGCGGTAGTGGAAAGGGTTACTTATGTGCCTCTATAACCCTTTCCACTACCGCCCACAAGATGGGTATGGGGTGCATAATAAATGGACTAAACTAACTGCTGTAAATCAATGTTGTACCACACTGGTACATACGGGGCAAAGTTTAGTTTGATTGATATTGTCTCGTGTCATTCCCTCGTACTCGTTTCGCTAGCTTAATTAACTTAATTGTTATGATAAATGATATACTTGAATCAGGTTTTCCAGATGCATTCAACATGCTTCCGTACATGATCTGTAAATATTTCATTAAAAATGATCTGCTACCAGAAATTTTAGCCAAATATCCTCAGTCTGCTGACTGACTAGACACAATAAGTTCTGGGGATGATAAAACATACAGAAATGGTTCGGTGTTTGTAAAATACTTCAGGAAAAACAATATGACTATTTTTTTTTATCTAAACCCATCTAATGTCACCCATCTCTCAAGTGAAGGGCTTGATTATAAATCATTGTGTTAAGGGACAGGATGCCCGCGTGTGTTCACACGTTAGGCTTTTATCAAGCCCCCCTCCCCCCCCACCTCTTAAACCCCAAGGCCGAATTACTGACCCACCCAGGACGCAACCCCACAACAAACTGACTAAATCCTCAGTACAATTAATTAATTAATGAAGATTAAGCCACCCAAAAGGTGGCACGGGCATGAATAGCCCGTAAGTGGTGGCCCTTTTGAGCCATTACCAGTATCAAGAGCTGATACTGGAGATCTGTGGAGGTGCAACTGCATCCTGCGTGACGGGAGATGTCTCCCGTGCCTGAGTACATATTTACTGCTACATTTCTATTAGACGAAAGGAAACGTGCTAACCATTTCTGTCCCGCCCGGGATTCGAACCCGGAATTCTCAGTTGTACGTCGAGAACGAACCCGACTGTACCAGTTAGTTAGTTTAGTTCATTTATTATGCACCCCATACCCATCTTGTGGGCGGTAGTGGAAAGGGTTACAGAGGCACATAATAGGCTCAGGGACTGAACCCCACAATTCATTTAGCTAAGCAAGTTACAATCTTGATGAGCTAGTTACAAAATTCAATATAAGTCGACTGTACCATCTTGCATAATCTTGCATTATGCAATAAGTCATGGTCTCTTAGACAACAATGGTGTCCACGGATCATTAGTGCAAGACTTAATCTATCCTCAACAATCTACACATGCACTTCAAGCACAAAATATACGAGTGGTATCAGTATCATATGCATTTATGACTGCCATATACATATCTCCCAATTATGTCAAATGGGTGAAACCTAAGTTGCCAAGAACTAAGAATAGAGAACAGGGGTGGTTCTGTGCCTAAGTCTATGCATGATTGTTTATTACATGTTGCTGATTATTATAGAGCTCACGAAACAACTGAGTCGCTCCATGCATTTCTACAAGCTAGTGGCGCTTTCGTGGAACTGAAAGAGCACGTACGTAGTCAACACTGGGAATAATTCTTACAGGGCATCAATCATGCAATATCTTCAGCTCAAATGTGAGCCAAAATTAAAAAGATCTCCAAACCTAACACCCCTCAACTTGCTCATCACTCTCCAACAACTTATGCAGACATGCTGCTAGAACAGTATGCAAGCATTCCTAGCATACCGAATCTGCCCCAAAATATATAACAACATCTTGCTAGTACTAATGTTAATATGGACTTTAATATTGAAATTGCCTGTAGTGAAATGGGTCCAGATGATGTTTATGACATTTCTCTATTTAAGCTTAAAACTACATTTGAGGAGGGCAGAGCAACTTCTCCCGGAGACAATCGCATATAATACAGTGCCCTGAGGCTTCTTGCCAATATATCTAATAGTTCGCTGCTAGAACCGTACAGACAAAGTCTACACCAAGGTGTTCTACCAAATCGTTGGACACAAAGCCTCATTATCCCTGTACCTTAGCCAAATTAAAAAAAAGTTAGGCCGTTATTTTTAACTTGCATGTGCAAGGTCCTTGAGAGGACTGTTCCCCAAATTACAGGTAACACTCTTTTCATTCTGTTGGAGGGAGCTGAGGTGTAGTCACCAAATATAAGCAAGCTTGAAGTGAATAGCCAACAGTACAATTTCCACAGTTAAGAATGTAGCACTCGGCATATGCAGTTCTAATCGACCCTAAGACACTACAGCTTCGACACAGCAGACAGCAGACTACGATCCCATTGAGCTACAACGCTCTCGCTCCCCATCGAGCATAAACACTCACGATTCCCCATCAAGCCGCTACGAGAAGACAAGATTAAAGTGTTCAGTGAGGATCCACAAGGTCTTCTCTCAGTACTCTTTATTTTCTTCTCCGTGGCTATGGGTCCCTACATTTGCACCAGAGGTGGTACCCCTTTTAGGTTTTTATTTATTTATATATACAAGGGTTCTTACATTCTTGTACAGCCACTAGCACACGTTTCGAATTTCGGGCAAGTCCTTAATCCTATGTTCTCCGGAATACGACTTCGCGTACCCATTTCACTGTTGGGTAAAACAAGAGGCTAAACAGCCTCTTTGGGTAAAAAGAGGCTATAGTTATAGTTATGATTGAGTGAGTTAGGATTAGCTACAGATATAAGGACTGACACCCAGTAAATCCTCGATACGAACCCAGGACAAAGCGTTCGCGAAACGCCAGGCGAGTGTCTTACCATTACACAATTAATACAAATACCTGGGAATCTTCCGTCTTTTTTTACTCTCATGTCTCTATTAACTGAGAATACAGAAACAAAATGTTATCGCAATTATTTTACACTGAAAGAATGAGAGAATGTGTGGTGGGTGATGGGTTTTATACTGGGGATGGCTGGCCAGCGACGTGTAAACATTTATACTCGAGGTGGCTGGGTGGTTGTTGAGGGTTGCGGCACTTGTGATTGGTGGACCCCGTCTCTGGTACTCATGACATTCTCGCACCCATGTCAACCAATAAAGGAACGTACAAGTTTAAGCCGCTGGTTTTCCATCCAGTGAGGCCTCGGGGAAACCTCAAGGATGGTAAGTGAGCCACGAGTAGATGTCACAAGCTACTCGCAACGTTTTACATAACCTCGGAGAAAGTTTAGAAACCACATGCTGGGTGTGGATTGATTTGCTGCTATCTGGCCTTAGGCCGGCACCTGATACATATGGTTAATTGTGGCACTAGATAATAAATTTATCAAAGAACAGTGTTTTCAAATTTAATAATGAGTAATAAAGGTTTACCAATTAAAGATGTAAGCCATCAAGAGTGCAACTGAATGTGTATTGTGCCATACTTCTTTGGAGAGTTCCATATCCAAGAGTTCGGTGTGCTTTTTTAATAGTTTAGAATCTTCCTAATAATACACCTTTATATAAGCTAAGGATTGTGAAACTATTGTATATAAGTCAATTAAGTGCTGGAGTTTAGTTTTTTTTAGATTCAGCTACTCTGAACAAAAAGTTCCAAGTAGCACGGGTTATGGCGAGCCCGTAGTGGACTTACCTGACACAGGCTGTAACTGCTCTGCTGGAGTTCTGGGATGCAGGATAATCTGGAAACTTGCTCTGCTTGTGCAATGCTGATTTATTAATACTACTTTATATTGCATTCAAAGAGTGTGCTAGTCTCTGGTGTGCCCCAATCTGAACTACTGTATCAAAGCATGGAGATTTTGCCTTCTGAAGGACATATTTGCATAGGAGAAGTTAAACACTGACAAAAATCATCCCATAACAAAGTCAACACTCATACCAGGAACAGATGAGGGCCTCAAGGCTTAAAACATTACAAACCAGCCATAACAGGCCTGATCTCATTGCGATCTTTTAAAGTATTGAATAATTTTGATATTAATCCAAATAATAAAGGTCATGTGTAACATATAAAAGGCAATGGCTCCAAGCTCAACAAACCACAATGTAGGACACAAAACAGGAGATGCTTTTTCACTCAGTGTTCTTCACCTCTCCTCTTTCCCAACGATGTGGTTGCTTAGGTTGTTTCAGTGGTGAATTTCTTGTGCCATCTGTTTGATTAGGTGTTGTTTGCTAAGGGTTCTGTCCCCTTTTGGAGACAGTGGTCAGGTGGGGACCTCACCTATTGTTGGTCGAGGTAGGTCCTTGGGTGGGTCAGGTTTCCAGGCTGTTGCACTACCTAAGGAGACCTCATATTTTGTTAAATGTTGCAATTATGCCTGACAGAGGTCTGGTTTCACTCATGGCTTGAATCAGCCCTTTTGCTGTTTACTCCTTTGCTGCCATCATGGAGGGGTTGTCTGACTCATTTTGCAAGCTCCTGGTTCCAGGATTTGTGGGCATTATGGGTAGTTTCCACAGGTCTTCAGTGGAGCTGGTTGGTCCCTGCCTTATATTTTGGGTTGGGTTTGTTGGGTCAGAATTTCTCCCCAGCATTGTGTCTGGTGATTGTGGATTGGCTAGCATTGGGCATGATTGAGCTGACTTAGTCCCTTCTGTGGGTGTTCCAGCTGTTCCTGGTCCCAGTGTTAGATTCGGCAGACCTACTGTACATCCTCGATCTTTTGGGGGCTAAATGGTTTCATCTGCTCGATCTTCCACATGGCCACCTTGGCCCATGTGGAATCCACCACAGGTGACAGTCCATCACCTGAAGAAAAAAGCCTTCAGAAAGGCAGTGCAGCTTTACAGACAACTGGAAGGTTTACAGAAAATGAAACCTTGAAAAATGAACAAACTACCACCACAAACAAGTCATAGGAAACAAGGGATTCACTCAAACAGGCTCAAAACTTGTTTTGAGTTAAAACACCAATTAAAAGACCGATTAGCACCACCAGGTAGTCTGGCCCTGACTCCCGGCCATCTCTGTCACTTCTGGACCTGATGAACAAACCCACGAGGAACTGGCGAACCTGTTGGGTGGGAGGGAGGCAGGAAGCCACTGGGGCTCCTCCAGAAATTTAATTTCATTTTATGCTGGGAGTCTAGTGGGAGTTCCTTGTAGCTCCCTGAAGTTAATCTAAACACAGAGAACAAGAAGGGATTTAGAGCAGGAAGGAGGAAAGACAGCAGGCACTTTAGACGAAGAAGAAAAACCAGGTTAGGTGATATGGCCCACAGCCACACACGACCGACTGATCCTAGGAACAATAACTGGGCTGACAGAAGGGAAAACTGTGAACCAAGGTGAGGAATGAAACCCCAAAACATGGTGTATGGGAAATTTTCCCACCTACATACATAAATTATTGTACATTAGTTTAAAAATACTTTATAGCTATTAAGATTCGTCTTGAGCTGTTAAGTTCAGATCTTAATTGTAATTTATTAATACATATAATCAAATAATTATGAGAATTTCCTCTGTTGATACCTTATTCTGATAAATTAATGAGCTGATGAAATCTTTGGGACATTGGTACATTCCACATCATCAATGAAAGTTAACAACTAAACTAATAAATTTAGCTCTCAATTAAATAACTATACCTGTAGTACAGTTTATAGTTTTGTTGCTAAATACTGTTTAAAATACCCGTTAGTATATTTAGTTAGTCCCCATTACTGTAGTTTGTAAAAACTAAATAATACAATCCTGAGTGGATTTAACTTAAAATCACCTCTTTCCCAAATTAAACCAAATATCCACACTTGCATGAATGCTAATGGGGAAGGATATGCCATAATACTTGGTGAGGACAGGAGAGCACATCAGACATGGATGGTAGCTGCCGCGTATTGTTTCACTATTTCGATCATGAACAACGTGGTTTACATCTTCTGTTACCAGAATTTGTCCCATCAACCCCTGAGGAGTTTGCAGTTTTGTTAGGTTTCATAAGTTGGGTACATCTTATAAAAAATTAACTTTCATAAGTTACACAATACACACACAAATCACAATAGTGTGATGCATCAAATGAACAACTCCATAAGGGCCGTGATGAGGGTTCGAAAAGTCGACTAAGGCAGTGTCTTATTTTGGCCAATTTTATAAGTTACAATGTGATCCCAGTTATACTGCTTACCCATCACAAAAAATAAGTAAACAAGTGAACAGTTTAACCTAAATAATTTATTTTGAATACATATTACATACTCTTATTACTCTTCCTAAGATACATCTTGCCAGCAGGTTTAACTGATCACAACAAGGAGTAGCCAGCCGTCATGAGAGTAAATTGGCGTCACAAGGCTAGGCGTAGCCAGTAGACACAAGGCAACTCCAGCTAGATGATGACGACGCCACTTTAGACACGGGACCATTGTTCTACTAAACAATTAAGCTGTTGATGTACAGTAGTTTAAATTAACCAATGGATAGAGCAGAAAATAATTAAGTTAATTTAAGAAAAATAAATACTGATAATAAATTTACATTTAATAAATATTCAATTCTGTTCTATCCCAATTAATACTAACACTACAATCCCCAACTGTGGTTTTATGTGGAATTACACCTATAATATACAGTCCATTAACTAACATTCAATACACAGTTCGCTATCAAACGGTAAATAAATAAATAAATAATTTACTTTACCACATACTCCCACACATGGTCAAGGGGACCAGGATGACTCAGGAGGAGCATTAGCAGGCCAGAGGTGGAAGAATGCACAAGACAACTTGGGGAATGGCACTGCAGAGGTGTTGACAGTAAACCCGAGCAACAGTGGCTCCACCAAAGTCAAATGACAAGAGAAGACAGTATTCGGTATAAGAGCTCGATCAAGAAATGACCAAGACAAAAAAGAAAGAATAGAGCTCGTACTGTCAACATGAAGAAGAACTCTGGCGAAAGACCAACAAAACTACCACCTGCACACCATACAAATGGCAATAGAGATGCATCAGAAACTCCAGGTGGTTAGAGCAAAGGATAAGGTCAAACCAGTGAAGTACACTGCTGGGCCAATCTGCTGAAAGAGGTGGAGGTGCCCAGGTTCAAACACTGGGCTAAAAGGCTCAGAAACCAAGGCTGGGCCAGCCACCATAGAACAAGAAAGATCACCCTCCCTAAGAATGACTCCAGACTAGCCAACACCAGGAAGCAACACTGAACCGAGAGAAAAAGGAAAACGCACCTCCACCATGACCACCAGTCAAAAACCATTCACAGTGAGAGACTTGCGACTGGGAACAGAGGCATGGAGGAAGGAAGGTTCAATTCCACACCTATGCAAAGAAGTCCACCTAGAGGAGTCTAAAAGTCCTGCAAGGCCAATGGAAGGATGCATTGTCAACAGTCCACTCCATGTAGACGGTCTGAAAGCAAGACAACCAATCCTTAAGGACATTTGACACACTCCGTATGTGAAACATGTAAAGAACCAAACCCCGAGAATCCAGAAAGCAAGCCACACACAGTGGTCAGATCCACAGGGTGACCAAAGTGACCCCCCTCACTCTTCAGGTAGTGAACCACCAAGGAGCAATCAGTGAAACTGGAGTGTGGAGCCCAGAGGACACCGAATCCATCTCAAGGCATGCCACTTGGCCACAAACTCAAGCACAGTGCTGTGTTCCTGAAGGAATAAACCCCGCCACCGACCCTAGGCAGCCAGACGTTGGTCACAAAGGCCCACCCCAGAGACAAGGAACTCGTAAACACATCTAATAACGGAGAAGTGTGGCGCCACAGAAAGAAACCCTGAAAAACCTGAAGGGGAAGTTGGCGATGAACCTGGCAAGCTGGGAAAGAACAAGATCCCTGTCCATCTGACACACGGACTGACTGGGGAAAGCCACATCAGCCAGTCGTCAAGGTTGGACAATACAAGAACTAACAAATGCAGCCGGGCCACACTGACCTGTACTAGGTTGGTAAACATGCAGGGGGTCAGGTCCAAACCAAAAGGAAGAACCCTGAAGCAGTAAACACTATGCTCCATGACAAAACCAAACTATCCCCTGAACCCTGGATGAATAGGGACATCCAATCTCCAGCCAGGTTCACCTGCTATTACAGGTGGTTTAGTTCTTTGTGCCTCTGTGAGGAGGGGGGCTAGGGTCTGGTTCTTATCCCCATTAGGCCAAAAGGAACTATCCACAGGTGATGTGACCTTTTAGCGTGAAGCAATCTTGGGAAGATAACTTCAGGAAGCTAACGAGGCTCCTCCAGAAAATGGTATTTCATTACATTCAATGCTGGTTTTTTAAATTCAGTTACATGTTCTGCTTTGAATGAGGAATAGTTCCCTACTGTATTTACTATTAATAGTACAGTATAAATTCAGTGCATGTTACAGTATAAGTATGTACATGTTAATATGATCACTACTCTTATGTGAGGAAGTTGCACAAAGGCTTCGTAACATTATTTTAGAATTTCTAATTAATAACTTTAAAATTATTTGGGAAGGGTATAGAAGATAACCATGATGACTTGATTTGCCTAACACTGTGTCTACCTGACAGGGACGCCATTACCAATGCCAAGAAGTGGCCACCGCATTGTTTGCCATGGGCTGTCTTTCTATTCATTTGGTGGCTACAATCCCAAGATATCCACAAACGAGTACTTAGATGACACCTGGCAAAGAACTCATCCATTATTCCAAGAGGTTAGCACAGGCTTAATTAATTCGTAATTTTTAGTACAGTATTGTATCGATTGAATTCAATATATTCATTATAGTATAGGTGCTGTACTTCAAAATGTATGGGTACTGTGCTTCAAAATGTATGGGTACTGTGCTTCAAAATGTATGGGTACTGTGCTTCAAAATGTATGGGTACTGTGCTTCAAAATGTATGGGTACTGTGCTTCATCAAAATGAGAGTACAGCAATGTATGTTTATTTTATTTTAAATATTGTTATCTATTAAAATACAGGTGTATAATGTATTGTGTGCAAAGATATTTTTAATGGGAATTGCGCTAAAAACCAGTTGGGAATAATTTAGCCAAAATTTTTGTGATTGCACTGTATTCTATGCTGTATGAATTATTTTGATATGTTTTTTAATTTTTACAGCTTTGGCAATTCAATACTGTGAGTAGCACATGGACAAGAATTGAGGGTACAGGCAGAATGCCTGAAGAATTAGCATCTCATTCAGCTGTCCAGCTTGGGCCTAACATGCTCGTGTTTGGAGGAACAGCTATGCCATTTGGGGATTCTTCTTCAGATTCGGTATGGAGAATACTTGTGATTTGCATTTCAAGAAATTTCATAATTTTCTAATACTTCTCTCTATCTTGTCTAATGCTTTTCTCTATTCTCTCTCTCACCCTTCACCTTAATTTTCCCACCAGCTTCCCTCAGAGAAGGTGGCTATAATTGGAAAATCTCCAGATAAAATCCATATATAATTCCAGGTAGCCCTATCTAAGGATACGTTTCCATTTTTTCTGTACCCCTTTAAACCTCATGAGAATGTCTCTCTTGAGGGTTAAAGAATGATTTATTCCTCGCATATTCTTTCCAGAATGATGTTTACCTAGGAGTTACTGTAATCCTGTGTTTAAGCTTACCATATTCTCCTTGAATTTAAATTTTTCCATCAGCCATTCTCTTTGTATGTACAAATCATAAGGCATTTCTCCAAATTTGCTTCACTACCTCATACATTTTATTTTTCCCTTTACAATCTCATACCTTCCATGTAAATCTCATATTATTTATTCTTGCCTATTTACATTTAATACATGCAGTTCTTAAATCAAATAATTTGGTTACCAATATTTCACATCGAAAATTGTCTGTCGCATTTCATGTTAATGTTTTGGGTACTGTAGGTCAGGGTCACCAACACTATGCCTTAGTGTAATCTTTTACAGTACACTGTACATACATTATCATTATTGTTCCCAGCTTTCATGGGGTGGGGAGGCATCAGTCAGGTAAAAAAAAAGTCATAATTGGGAAAAAGAAGTTTACAGTTCAGTATAGATATTAAATCTATATACGTTTCCATTTTTTCTGTACCCCTTTAAACCTCATGAGAATGTCTCTCTTGAGGGTTAAAGAATGATTTATTCCTCGCATATTCTTTCCAGAATGATGTTTACCTAGGAGTTACTGTAATCCTGTGTTTAAGCTTACCATATTCTCCTTGAATTTAAATTTTTCCATCAGCCATTCTCTTTGTATGTACAAATCATAAGGCATTTCTCCAAATTTGCTTCACTACCTCATACATTTTATTTTTCCCTTTACAATCTCATACCTTCCATGTAAATCTCATATTATTTATTCTTGCCTATTTACATTTAATACATGCAGTTCTTAAATCAAATAATTTGGTTACCAATATTTCACATCGAAAATTGTCTGTCGCATTTCATGTTAATGTTTTGGGTACTGTAGGTCAGGGTCACCAACACTATGCCTTAGTGTAATCTTTTACAGTACACTGTACATACATTATCATTATTGTTCCCAGCTTTCATGGGGTGGGGAGGCATCAGTCAGGTAAAAAAAAAGTCATAATTGGGAAAAAGAAGTTTACAGTTCAGTATAGATATTAAATAATAAATCATTAATACATCACTAGTCAATTTATTATACCATTCACAATACTATATAAAGCATCCAGGATAAGCAAGAACTACTACACTGGCAGTCATTTACAGCATCAGTCTATTGCTTTAGATATACTCCTTGTGCTCCTTGTAAATTATCATGCAGTGCATTATTGTATATGCAAATATATTTTTCTTTACATATAATTTAAAATATAAGGATATTCTGCATTAAAAATGTCCCTACTTGTGTTAAACTTCTTCAGTGTGGATTAATCATAAAGTATACCAGCTATCATTTCTTTTCAGTTGTACATGTGTCACCTACCTACTGGTAAATGGCAGAAAGTGGTCACACACGGGAAAAAGCCTGAGCCTATGTATGGGCAGGTAGGTTTTCTGCATGCTACAGTGTTGATTGTTTTGCACCATGTGTAACATAGGGAGCCGGTCGGCTAAGCAGACAGCACGCTGGACTTGTGATCCTGTGGTCCCGGGTTCGATCCCGGGCGCCGGCGAGAAACAATGGGCAGAGTTTCTTTCACCCTATGCCCCCTGTTACCTAGCAGTAAAATAGGTACCTGGGTGTTAGTCAGCTGTCACGGGCTGCTTCCTGGGGGTGGAGGCCTGGTCGAGGACCGGGTCGTGGGGACACTAAAGCCCCGAAATCATCTCAAGATAACCTCAAGATATCAGCCAGTGCTAGGATGATTTATTTTTGTCACTTGAAGGGAATTCTATTCTTTATATATATAATTCATAGGCAAACAAATTATGAATATTAACATAATACAGTAGTTGAATTGTTTACATTTTTAAAAGAAAAGAGATGCTTCTAATCATATGCTAAAACAAAAAGTATAATTGATTCAATTTTTTATTTTAACCCTAATGCAATAGGGCTGACCTTGTGTTATATTGATAATGGCAACATCTTTAACCTTCTGGAAAAGTAAAGGCTAGAAAATATTTGAGAATTTAGTTCTCTTCCCTATGCAAGTGCTGGATGGTGTGGAGGAGGAGGCCTGCAGTGTTGTACATCCGTTGTTACTAGGGGGAGTTACTGTAACTACACAGGTAATTATGCACACAATGGCAGAGAAAGATTGGTACATTCCAATACTCACTCCACAAAATAATGGCTTAGCAAGAACAAAGTTATATCACAATAAATCCAGTAATGACTGGCTACCTGGATGTTGAGTCTGTAAATGAGGATCCAAAGACTGGTCTCAATACTGACTCAAGTCCAGTGGGATATTAAATCACAGATCCTTAAATCAAGTGGATACTGGTACTCCCTAACATCAATGTGTTTCTGCAGGCCCATTTGAAAAGTTTTCAGTGGTGCCATTGCCAGAATGTCATCCTGCCTGACTGCATGATTCTGTCTTGCAGACTGTTGATCTTATCTAAGGAAATATCAATAATATGCTTAGAAATGAGTTTTTCATATCATGATTATTTATTTTTATTTTTTTTCAGGCTGTGTGTCTTAGTGACGATAAGTTATATGTAGTGGGTGGGACCACTGGCTTTCAGTACAGCATTGATGTTCACTGCTTAGACCTTAACCAAAGAATGTGGGAGCACCTCTCTCCACATGCAGCAAGCCCTAATGCCAGTCCAGAGGAGAGGTGAGGTGTTAACAAACTATAAGGTGTAGTTTTATTTCAATCATTTGGCACAAATTTTTCAATGTTAGGCTGCTATTTTATTTTGTTGATCAAAACAGATTCTTTGCTTGGGAAAACTCTTGGGTTAAATGAGTAAGTGTTCTATAGATTGTAAAAGTTACAAAAGTTAAAAATGTAAGGTAAGACATGATTATATTCTTCTTCTTTCAGTGCTCTACCAGTATATTATTCTTTCAGTACTCTACCAGCATACCCTTCTTCCTGTACTGTTCTCTCTCCATCTTAGCTTCATCCTCTTACTACCAGCATTAAATTCATCAGCTTGAGGTTCAAGTGTAACAGTCACTTTATCATCAAAGTGCTGCACTTCATAAAGTAAAAAAATCAACTTGTTTAGTCATTTATCACTTTAAGGTGGTTATAATTTTATTGCTCTTGAAATACTGCTTTTTACTTTGAATGAAAATGTCTTCGTGGGCAGGACTGTACTTGTACCTTTGCATTAGGGTTGGCTATTTTATCTTTTATGCAGGTATCGTCATGAAATTGTAGAGCATGCAGGAGCACTATATGTGTTTGGTGGTGGAAGGTCAGATGCTGCGTGTGACCTGACTTGCCTGCCAACTTTCATGCTATCAGAGCGGGTGTGGATGAACACTCGGACGCGACCTGATGTTCGTAGTGGCACGTACCCTCAGGCTAGAAGATGCCACATAGCCAGTAGATTAAATAATTGTAAGTACGTTTTTCTTGCTGTGGCTGCATTGCTTTAATATTTAATTAGCAGAGAGTAAGTCACAATAATGTGGCTTAAAAATAACCTCAATCTACACATGAAATTAAAGTGATGACATTTTGGTCTGTCACAGCCCTTATCACATACAAGAATTGGAGGAGCACACCAAAATATTATGCAGAGAGAGTGCACAAATGTCACTTATTATTATTATATATTTTTATAAGTGTGGGTATGTTGCAATTGACTAATGGTGGGAAATTTAAATAAATTTGATTTAGTATATCAAATGCCCCAAAATAACATTTACTGATCAGAAATATCATGCACAGATCTTACTACAGGTAGAGTAATACAAATTGTCATACACAACTTTATATTCTTAAAGATATTTAATATTTTATAAAAAAAATATTTTCTTTTCATCTTGCACAAATTAAATATCACTTTCCCAACATGTCTATTCTCTGGGTTACAGGCCCTGTTCTGCCTAGAGTTTGGTTCATCTTTTCCTCTGCAGTGCATGATTTCCCACCCTTCCTGAAGTCAACATCAATCTTAACTCTTATGTTTTTCAAGCATGGTACGATCTAAAGGGGATTCTTTAGGAACTTAGACTATATATCTGGATAATCATCCGTGTGCTGCAGGGTATATGCTGATCTTTGCATATTAAGTTTTATGAGCTTCCCTATTGGTGCCTGTAATAGGGACAGGCGGCAGTAGTCCAAAGTTAGGGTTTCTGAATCTCCTCTGAAATCCAGTGCAAGTTATCAGGCTTGTCATTAGTTATCTTCTCTCAGTTGTGAACATTATGTCATTCTATACTTTGCTATTCAATGGGAGAGGCCTTGTGCTATCTGAATATGTTTGTCTCATATTGTTTGTTTCTGATAGAACACCTGAAGTTTGGTGTTTGACCTTGACCATTCATTCCTTCTCTTTATTCAGTTTGAGTAGAGCCTTTTTTAAACACTTTTCTCCTTTGCCAGAGCCTGCCTGGTTTCTCACTATTGCTTTAATTTTGGGTCTTTCCATTAGGTTAGCAGGCTTTATGGCTTGTTTCAGAGTCAGGGGTTTTAGATGGAAGGATATACATGCTAGAATTGTGTATGTAGATGGTTTGCAGATGAGAGTATGACACACTTATTGTGGTGTCCTCAAATAGAGCAATCTACATGAACGTGACATATTGAGAGTACGTTCATAGTGCACAGTTTTCACATAATGACTGTGTGAAGCCTTCAATTGACCCGCAGTAAGGGCCCAGCTGTCGTGGACAGTGCGGGAAGGGCGTTCCCGAAGGTTGTCAGCCTCTGTTACAGGTTTTCGGCCTTGGCATTCATCAACTTTGAAATAGCCATAGAGGTGACGTGCTGACCCTTCTGTATGATGGATGCCCATCCTGACTGATGTATTGGATCAGGATGTATTGGACATCTACATTTTTGTAGATGTCTTTAGTTGGAAGGATACATTTTTCACCTCCATCCCAACCCTGGCTTTCTTGCCAAAAAATGTATCTTTTTTGTTCAGGCTTGGCTCTTGCACCCTTGAATGCATCATACATTCTGCTTGATGCTTTTTTTGTGTGTTATTTACTGAACCTTGTCATGTACTAGTCCATTTCTCAATCAAAGAATAACTCTTACCTTCACCAAGGCTTGCATCTCCCAGCTGGTGCAGTGGTTAGTCAGATTAAACCAACTTTGGGCAAATCCCTGGCCACATGATCTCTACAGATATGCTGAATTGGTAGCATTCTTCTCTGCAATGTCTAATAAGAGAGATTTGAGCTGGGCTGAGTAAAGTCCATTCACATCACACACTAAGACTTAAGGCAGTACACTGCTCGCACCGAGCTTTTTTGGTGCTGATGGCTGTGTCTGTGTCAAACAACACTTCCACCTTTCAGTACCTCCAGCTGGTCAATGTCACTAGCCTGTTTCTGGTATAATTCTGCAGCCAGGGTGAGTTTTTCTTCTATTTTGCTTGTTTTTCTTATGCTCAAAAATCCTTACTTGGGTAGCAGTCAAATGTAAAAAAAAAAGTTGTTTTAATAATTCTGTAAAGCTACTCTCTGAGTTGCATCATTAAAATAATAAATGAATAAGCAGTAATAAAGTGGAAAGGCTGGAAGTGTAGAAATTGAGTAGTAAAAATTCTTGACAATACTCACTTGAGCAGATAATGCAATCCTAGTATGAAAAATCTTAGTACTGGGTATGTTGAGACAGTCAACATAAAAATGAGACATTCACACAAAGCTGCCCAAGTGAACAAAGCATGGGATACAATATTACCAGGGAAAAATAAGTAGTAATGTTGAAAGGATTTTCTGCATGTAGCAGAATTGCGAGCACTGTACTGTAAGTTCTGTTTACGTAAAGCTGCAACTAATGAGCTCCTCTGGTATGTTTCAAAAAGGAAAATAAAATGCAGACATGCATTCTTATTTAATTTAATTTATAAATGAAGGAGCATGGACAAATTTATATGCCATAATACGTCTGTATGGAGCAATGGATTTTGAGCCACTTAATGAAATGCATGATTGTTTAATTTCAGATGTTTACATCCATGGCGGTTATAATGGTGTAGAAGCATTTGCAGATCTTTGGAGACTAAATTTGACAACGTTTGAGTGGCAGAAACTACCATGTAAATCACCAGTACCACTCTACTTTCATTCAGCAGCTGTAACAGAGGTAGGATTTTTTGTCTAAAGTTGGAGTAATGTGGAACTGGCTTAAGAGTGAGTGAATGCTTAACACATTTTATAGATGATAAATCACAGAAAGCACAGTACATACCACAAGTGGGGGTACTGTTGTTCATATTTTACGGAAGTATAATGGTGCTGAGTGGTGGTCGTGCTCTACATTTTTCCCCACTTTACATTTTGTTAAAGGAAGAATGGCACACAATTAACTATGTTTGTGGAATGGTATGTGATATAAGAGCAGCATGAGCAATATTCTGGTGGATTTTCTGATTACATAAGTGTTATACATGATGAGATTGAATGTTGTATGGATGTTGCTGTACCACCTAGATGAATGAGGCCAAAGCATTAAGTTTAGAAGTTGAAAGAGAGAGAAAATTAGATGATGGGTACAAATGGAGAATTGATGATTATCCTGGAGCCTAACTGTTTAGTTAGGACTAAGCCTGTGTGTGTGGCATCACACATACAGGTAAAGGAATGGAAGTGTGTTTGGTGGGACAAGGAAGAGTCAAGATTACTTGATGACAGAAAAAAATGGATTTTGTTGATGCAAACTGAAAGGGGAAAGAAACAAGAGTTTTTTATAATAATAGATATGGAAAAAAATTTGGTATTCAGAATGAACAGCAATTGAAGAACTAGGAAGAGAAATTCTTAAATTTATCAGAAAACTGAAAGCTATTTTTGAAAAAAAAGGAAGAGTTTGCAACACACACTACAATGAAAAACCAGCATGATTATTAAATATAAACACAGGGAAATGGCAACTGACAAAGACATTAGAAGTACAGTAGATAGAGGTATGTGTTTGATATTAGTAACTGGAGTACCTATGTCAACTTTAAAGGGTTGCCTGTGGTGCCACTCTAGTGACTGGCAGGGTTGCCTGTGGTGCCACTCTAGTGACTGGCAGGGTTGCCTGTGGTGCCACTCTAGTGACTGACAGGACTCCATTTAATATATGCAGATTTTTTTTTACCAGTGTGGACAAAGATTTATGTTTTAGTTGAAAGGTTTATAAATTTGTGAGTGAAGTCAGTTAAAAGAGAATGCTGACACAGGTAAACCTTGTGGTAGAGGAGACAGAAAGAAACTTATGGAATGGAGAAGTGTTAGGAGTGTCCGATTGGTTTAAATACTTGGGATGTGTAAATATCCAAAGAGGAATTTGTACAAGTAAAGTTGAGAGTAGAATGAAGTGGGGAAGGAAAGTGTCTGGTGCAATGAAGAACCTGGTATGACACACACAAGGCAAGGGATGCAGCTGGAAAGTTGCAGGAAATGCATTGCTGCTTACATTAATGCATGCAAGTTTGCAAGACTGTGGTGCAATATGATCATGAAGAATCAACACTTACAATTTTACAAAGGGACAAGCTTAGAAGGAAATACTATACAGTATATTGTTAGGAGAATAAATAGGGAAGAAATGAAAATGCCATGACAGTGTTGTGTACCCAAATGATTTAAACATGTTAAACGAATGGGTGATGGTAGATTGGTAGTTTATTTGTAAATTTGAGGGTAGGAAAAACAAAAGAAGGTACAAGGTAGACAGATGTGGTAAGTATACGAGGAAGCAGAGATAGTGTAAATAGTGCATGGTATATGGTAGAAATTAAGTTTGGGTGGAAGTGGTTTGTAATGGATGAAAACAGTCTTTAAAAGGTGATGGGGAGCTGCCATGGATTATTTGCTGGAGTGTTGTGGTGCTTGGGAGTCCATAAGGTTATACAATGTATGTAATATAGTTAAAAGATGCCTTTTGTTTTTATCTAGCTGATATCTCCCATCTAATGAAAGTATAACAATGGGACAATGGTGATGGAAGGAATTTGGAAGGATGATTAATAGAATTAATAAAGGAAGTGAGAATATAATTAATTTTGCTGGTGTGAGAAGAATACATGATAGCAGAAAGACACTCACCAGTGTTGAATCTGAAATGTGGGAAAGCTACAAATATATATATGCAGGAATTATTAAATGTAGTTGAGAAATGGGAGTGAAATGTTTGTAGAGAATTTACCAGAAAGCATAAGAAAGTTGCACTTCACCTGCTGATTATAATATGTGAATGTGCCAGTGTATCTTTTATGTAAAAGTAGTGTTGTGTGAAATGAAATGCTCCTGTTTATGCAGCACCACCTATGCTCTGGTCGAGGACTGGGCCGCGCGGACATTGAGCCTCGAAATCATTGCAAGGTAACCACAAGGTAACCTCTCCCTAGCCATATCCATGGGTCCACCCATGCTAGCACTCCAGGCCAGTACAATCTTTGACCACCACCACCAAGAGAAGCTGCTCATGACATGAAGGAAAATTAAACTTATAAAGACCCCTTCCCCTCTTTCGAACAGTCACTTGGGCCACTAGATACCCGCCAAACACACAATGAGACTACGACGTTGCTACAATGTTCGAACAAGTTTTAACACCTAACCAGTTATAACAACCAATATAGCAAGTTGTAACAACGTTCTAATCCGTCATAAACACGTTAAGCCAAGATGTAACAACTTTATTACAAGTTGTAACAAGCAGAAAATAGGGACAGCTACGATTTGTGTTTCCAGGGTAGCCAGTTATCATTTTCAATCTATGTAACTAGCACCTACCCAGAACACAGACTACCACAATGTGATGGAACTAGTTAGTGTAGCTGGGTCAGCTAAGGTGGCAAGCCCCCAACTTTTGGCCTGATTCACCCAAGTGAACTTGGCAAAACAGGAATCAAATTGTAAGACAAGGAGGCAACTGAGATGTCACTTCAAGAGGAAAGTTTCAGTCCATTCAGTGCTCTGTTTCTGACAGAGTCCTTTGATTGTTTCTTTCAGTAAAGTTTTTCCTGGGATTTTTAAAATGGATTAAACCACTATTTAAGGAGATAGGATTGGCTATCTCGACTGACTTAGCAAATTTCCTTTCCTTAAAATGAAAACCCAGCCACACAGTCTTCGAAAAGAGGTCAAGAGACTTTGTGCCTAAAACTATAAACTTTGGTGAAAATTTTCTGTTCTCTCATACTTGGATTAAAATAATGTTACCTTACCTTAAACCTCCATGTTCAAGGAGGGTTTTTGTCTAATAAACACACACAAAATTATACAAAATTACAGGTAAATGATATCAGATATTACAAAAACAGTATACAGTAGTACATGCATTACTAGTTGTTATTAATAATAATAATAATCTGTTATACAATTAAACATAAATTGGGTCTTTCATTCACCTTCATTTAAGCACTATGGCTTCATAGTAAGGTTGTCAATAATAAATCTAATAATGTTTCATATATATTTATATAAACTGGTAGCCATGATTCATATATAAAATAATGAGACAAAACTAAGACATTGTTAAACAAAATAAGTGATGATATATTTGCTTTACCTCAGGATGGATGCATGTACATGTTTGGAGGAGTGAAAAATCTCGAGGAGAACAAGCGCACAGCGAGAGTGACCAAAGTGTGGCTAAATGTAGGAAAACTTCGTGATATCTGCTGGGAGGCGCTCTGTCACTACACTCCCAACCTGCCTAGTTTACCGCCATCATCTCTTCTTCAAATGGGTATTCCTCAGTATATTGTGGAATGTTTGCAGCACCAGACCCCTGCATACGGATAGGGTGCTTGTGAAAACATGTCGGCTAAGAAAATTGGTTGCACTGATGGTAAAGAGAAAGTGAGACTGCAAACATTTTATGAAGTGTAATCAGTTATTGTCAGCATGATCTTCTTCCCAACCACCATGTAATTGTATCTATATTGTGTATATATTTAATTTATCAAATCCTAAAGCTTTTTCGTTGTCATCAAGCATCCTATGCACATTAATACATAATGTGTATACAGTACTGTGTATATATGATAAATAAGTACAGTATTCTCTTATTTAGGCATTCTCTCATTGCGTTTATATTTGCAATATTATGATTTTAACCTCATCAGCTGCTTTTTCAACCAAATTATCTTGCTTGTCTCAAATTGGCCCCATGGTCTGTGTAACACTCGAGCCTCCCGTTTTATTTTATACCGATTCCTATCCTTAACCTCATCACAGCATTTGAGAAATTCTTTACTCATATCCTCAGTCTAGGACTAGGCAGAAGTGAACAAATTTCTTTTGAATTGATAAAAATTGTGACTTGTTTATTTTGAAAATGCTTGAGAATTTGTAATATTTGAAAATTTATCTGAATTGTCTGAAAATTTAGCAGATTTTAAAATTTCCTTTTATATACGGTAGTTGATCAAACTACACACTAGAAAGTGAAGGGATGACGACGTCCCTTCACAATCGACTTGAGAATGGTCCAGGACGGACCGAAACGTCGTCGTACCTTCACTTTCTAGTGTGTGGTTTGGTCAACATATTTCAGCCACGTTATTGTGACTCCTCGTCTGCATATATGGTAGTATTTCTTTCCTGTGTGTCATATTTCTGTATCATTGTATAAGGCTTAGATACAATAAATAGCAAGATCCAGCCTATTCTTCATATGAAGCTTATAGCTATACCTTGTATGGTTGTATATATTTCAGGGTAGAAAGAGGGTTTCCTTAACTGATAACTGCGGGATCTAACTTTAGAACCTTGTATAATGTCCCGACAGATCATGCTGATCAAAATTAACAGCAGGATTAGTAACACTTGATAAATAACTTTTATCTTTATTTAATGGATAAACTGCTTTTCTTTAGTTTCCACAAGTGAAAAAAGTTATAAACTCTTGAAAAGAATGTAAATCACACCAGTAACTCAGAAAAGATACAACAGCTGACTGTAAGGAGAAAGAGGGACTGTGCAGCTATCCTCCTGTTTTGGTAGTACTGTACTTATATTAACGATGAGGACCATAGTATATATACCGACGTACAATGAAATTAGAAAGTAGAAATCTGAACTATGAGTTAGACAGACAAGAAAATTTTTTTTTACTTGTGTTGCTTTAACAAACTAAACTAATCTAACTTAACTTTCCTAGACCTAATATAGTACATGTGTGTGCTATATTAAGTCTAGGAATATTTAAGTTTGTTTTTTAGCTTCATTTATTTTAAAAGAAATCCTTACTAGTCGGTATACTACTATCTAAGTGCTAAGTACATACGAATTCGTGATTATTGACGACCGTCACAATAGGTGCTATCTAAACAGGAGGACGGGTTGGAATGTGTATATGGAAGTACAGAAAAGTAATTGTTCTTGCTCCCATAACTGAAAGTCTGTCGAAGTCATTCGTTGATGCTACAGCAGTGACTAATGGAAGAAAGACCATTATCTAGATACATTTATCTAACTACATGTCTTTTGATTCTTTGAATACACCAAGAGGTAGACAGTTGGCTTGCCTGGCACTTGGCTTTGTTTTTAATTACGTGTGGCTTTGTTTTTAATTACGTGTCTACTTAGTGTACTATATTTACACTTGATAGTCTGCTCCATTCCCTTGATCTACACAAAACCATTTAAATAATCACTTTCATGATATTCATTGTATTCTTTTTTAATTCTTCTTATTCATATCATTCTTTTTCTTTCCAATGAAATCTATATAAAACAGAATGTCTTTATCCAAGGCTGGAGGGCTGATGCTTGCCGTTAGCCTCATACAACTTTACATAGTGACTTGTGATTCAAATTCAGATAAGTTTATTAAGGTATAAATACACACAAGGGATGAGATAGCTCTACCTATTCTCACCCTGTTCAGTACATGTTTTTTATATAATATATATATATATATATATATATATATATATATATATATATATATATATATATATATATATATATATATATATATTTATATTTATTTATATTTATTTATATTTTATATGAGACACACACACCATCACAAACAACATATTATGGGACATTCTGATGATTTATGAATGTATAGGGAGTGTTATGGTGGGGGGGATGCAGTCAGAGTGGCCCGCATTGCCTACCCTTGAAAGGAGGTCGACCCCTTTAACCCCCTTCACGAAGTCGGTGGATATGAAATGAGCCACGGCATTTAGTTTTTTTTTTTAATATTAAGTGTACTGTATTCAGATACTGATATGCAAAATGAATGTTCATATGAGATTTGCATTTGTTTTTGAGATATATATCACTATATATTTTGCTTATAGTGATATATACTGTAATATACATATATAGTGTGTAATGAAAATGGTTACACTGATGGGGGATATTGGAAGTGTAGGTGTGGGTGAAGATGGGGAGGGAGTAAAGATGTTTAAAGTGATGAAGATGGTGCATTTTGAAAATGGTTAGTGATGTGCCAAGATGGGAAGGGTAGGTAGGTGTGTGTGTGTGTGGGGGGGGAGGGTAATTACCTAAGTGTAGTTACAGGATGAGAGCAACGCTCATGGTGTCCTGTCTTCCCAGTACTCTGTTGTTTAATGCTTTGAAACTGCTGACAATTTTGGTCTCCTCCAACTTCTCACTTAGTTTGTTCCAACCGTTTACCACTCTGTTTGCAAAAGAAAACTTTCCAATATCTTTTTTGCACCTTTGTTTCCTTAGCTTGAATCTGTGGCCTCGTGTTTGTGAAGTTGCTGGTTTCAGGAATTCCTCTTCGTCAATTTGGTTGATTCTTGTTAGTATTTTGTAAGTGATCATATCACCTCTTTTCTTCTATCTTCTAATTTTGGCATGTTTAATGCTTCTAGTCTCTCCTCATAACTCTTAGTTTTTCAGTTCTGGAAGCCATTTTGTAGCATGCTGTTGCACCTTTTCCAGTTTCTTTATGTGCTTTTTGAGATTTGGGCACCATACAACTGCTGCATATTCCAATTTTGGTCTCGCAAAAGTCATGAACAGTTTCTTTAGTATTTCACCATCCATATAATAAAAAGCAAGTCCGACGTTGGAAAGCGAAACATACGCTCGTCTCACAATGTTCTTTGTATTCCTCTGGAGACAGCTTACTATCCAAAACCACCCATAGGTCTCGTTCTTTATTAGAGTTCTGTAATTCCTTTCCACGTAATTTGTAAGTGGTGTGTAGTCTATTTTCTGATTCCACATTCCATAACATGGCATTTATTCACATTGAATTCCATTTGCCACTTGATGCTCCAAGCACTTATTTTATTTAGATCAATTTGAAGGACATTACAATCATCTGGGTCTCTTATCTTCCCCAGTATTTTAGCATCACCTGCAAACATGTTCATATAAGTGTGTATTCCTTCTGGTAGACCGTTTATGTAGACAAAGAACATTACTGGTACAAGAACTGAATCCTGTGGTACTCCGCTAGTAACACTCCTCCAGTTAGATACAGTACTATATATTGTCTCTGATTACTGCCCTCATCTGTCTGTCAGTTAGAATTTTTTTGTGTGTGTGTATAGTAAAAGTATAGAAAAATAGTGTGTGTGTGTGTGTATGTGGTTCGAAAAGATGAGGGGAAAGGCGGGGGGGGGGAAAGAGTTGAGGAAGATAGGAAGTGGGGACAAGTGTGTTTGTGTAGATTTTAACTTTGATGAAGAATGTGTGTAGTAAAAATGGTTACAGTGATTTGGCAAGATTGGAAAGGAATGTGGGTGGTGGGGGGTTGACAGGGAGGGGAGTGTGTTTGCAGGGGGAGATGGGGAGGGTGTGGGGGGGGGGGGGGAAGGAGCCCTGGGTACAGGGTTGACCTGGGCACTGCAGGGTAACCCATTAAGTGTGACACATGATAAAGCAACATCAGTGTGCTTATAGCTTTTGGTTGGTACTAGAAACAAGAGTATATTAGCTGACATTGAATGCATATCTGAAGGTTTGCTGGAGCAACAGAATGCAGGAAGTGTTATATTCAATATGTGACTAAGTCTTTATTTTTATTATTATTTTTTTTTGTGTAGATTTGTGACCGCATTCTCATCATTTTCACGATCTACATTATTATTTAGTCTAATATCTCTTATTTGTTTTTTCTTTTTAACTACTTTCGTTACTCATTTGTCTATTTTTTGTTTTCTGTGGTAAGCTTCAACCTAGCCACATTGTCTTCTGTTGAAGTACAAGCATGAGCTAAATGCTTCACATATGGCATTGCATAAATACTATTCTAAGATAAAATGCTTTAAAAGCTCCTTTAAAATATCCTCCTGAAAGGTGGATGAAATAAATACAGAGTATTTTATAGAATGCTACATTCTAAATACAGTTTCTCAAGGGCATATAGGCCCTCTGGGAACTTAAAATCCTTGACTGGGTAGTCATGTGTAGAAGCTTCCCCATATAGAAATTATACTTGAAGGAGCACTTGTAATATGTCAGCATATTTTAATGGTTGGTTATTAGAGAAATTTTTAATGTACAGATGAAAAAGATCAAGGCAAATGGGGGGGCCTTCGACAAGCTGCCGGCTTCCTGTCCTCTTTGAGACCACTAGTGTTAGTGGCTCACGGGTAAACTCTGGTAAATGAAGCAAGTTGCCCTTGCTGGCATCGAGGCATAAAACTGTGTGTAAAGAATGACTTCTCTGGATGTTGCAAAGCAGAGATAAAGAACACAAAATGTCAAATATTGTGCAAGAAGGTAGACACGACATAGCTGCTGTTGTATCTATTAGAGTAATTGGAGTTTTTGTATTTGGTGTTTCTTTTGTATGTATTGGAGTGTTATGATTTTTGAAGCTCTGCAGTTACATCACTAAGCAATTTAAAAATAGTACATCTTTTTCAATTGCTTTACTTGGCAACAAGTTTTTTTTTTAATATATACTGTACAGCTTGGTCTCCTTATATTATCAGCTTTGTAACAACCTGTTTGTTTCATCTCTGCCTTACTGACAATGTAATAATTACTATATATTTGGATAGTTTTGAGCAAATATTCTGTAACACTACATTTGGGAAGTATATCAGTTTTATGATTAATTGAATAGTAAACAGTTACTGTATATGCTAAACAAATTTGTTGTAATAACAATTAAATTGTACTCATTATTTATAAGTTTCAGCTGAATTAAAAATGATCCAAAATAAAGTCTGGTTGACTAGTGGAATTTATCCTTAATACAAGAGACTGTAGTATCCTTTTCCTTTGTAATACCATTTGTCAAGGCCACTTCTTGCCAATATTCATTTGTTATTGTTGCAGACTTTTGTAGTGCCCTCATGGTTGATATCTTTTAACCCTTCTCATCCTTTGGTGGATGAAATCTAACATTGGCCCTCATGATGATATCTTTTAACCCTTCTCATCCTTTGGTGGATGAAATCTTAACATTGGCTGTTTTTTTTATCCCCAGTAGATTTAAGGCAGTTGAATGCTGCTGGGTACATAGCCATATTTGTGTTAACTCTACTTGAACTTCAACAGTAAAGGAGGAGGTATCAGTTTGGGACCAAAATATTCCGTCTTTGTTTCTCGTGTTTTAAAAAAATAGTGGCTTATTAATCCAGAGACAATATGGTATATAATTAAGAAGTTGAAAGAAATTTGCCCATTCCCTACCTTTATAGGGTGAGGGAAGGGAGGAAAAAATGCTGCT